CACAATGGATAAATCGATATTAATAGAAAGCAGCTTTACCCAGATGACTTTGGTTTCCGTTTGCCAGCTTTGGCGGGATCCTACCGGTAGACCCTACCTAGCTAGCTAGCTAAACCACCAAGAGAGCAAGGGCTCCGGTACGGTACTACGTTATGGTATGCAAGAGCACTAAGAGAGCATTACTACTCCGGACTAGTAAGAGACTCACTTTAAGAGTGACAAAGTCGCCCAGCATTGTTTTTTGTTTTTTGTTTTGGGTGACCGCAAACCGCAATCTACAGCAGCTTCTACCAGGTACTATTAGTAGCTACTAGCTACTAGCTAGTACAGGTATTAATAATTCACTGAGAATCTCTTCTTCTATTCTGTGACTGTGTGACTGAAGGGAATGAGCCTATATGTTATTTCATCTGGTAGAAAGTCAAGAATACTTGGGGGACTGCTCCTCTTTACCTTTACAGAGTAAGTGTTTTTCGACAAGATCCAACATGTTACTTGGCCATAAGTGCAGGTGGGTTCTATTGTTCTGCGCACATGGCAAAATTGGGTCCACGTCACTCCCCAAGATCAATGATCTCCTAAGCGAAGCAAGCAGAACGTCCAATGAACAGCCCTCAGTTAACCATCCAGTCGTAAAGTTTGGCCGGAATCTTCAGAAAGAAGAAAGGAGGATCGAAAGATCCATTAATAAAATCGCCAAGCAGACTTTTATTGACTTCAACAAGTAGCTGGTCACTGGCCGCTCACCGAGCAAGCACATCGTAGAGCTTATAGCTTTTAGAGCTCAGAGCTTCCGCCATCGAGCTCACAATTCGAAATCATCGCAAGCAAGCTACACAATCAAACTTTTCAGCAACCCACCAAGATTTTCATCTCTTTTGTCTATGACAATGGATCTCGCGTGGGGTTTGACCAACGTTTCTGGGCACATTGCCATGCAGGACCAAGGCAAGATCTCGCCTGGAACTTTGAAGAAGCCCAAGAAGAAGACCAAGGGTCGACGAAACAAAGAGCGCAAGCCAAAGTCTAGCGGCCGAGTCTCCAAATCCAAGGAGCAGTATCAGCAAGTGGTTGATGAAGTTGTGGCATCGCCCAAAAGCAAGAGACAGCCACGAAACTCTGTGGGAAGTTGGGCTGGATTGGATCTTAACGCCTACCACTTCACCCAAGCGATTGGCGGACGTGACCAAGACGAGGCGGCCGAGGAGGAAGTTCCAAAGGGAAACCTCCCTCGAAAGAGCAGTTGGGGCAAGCTTGAACTCGCTCTAGCATCAGGAGATGAGGAGAGTGTCGTTCGACCATCAACAAGACGAAAGGGAACCCTTGACAGCTCAAGCCATCACTCCAAGAGTAGTTGGGCTGGCCTGGATATCTTTGGAGAAATGGATCTTGCCGGATACCGACTCGGCGACAGCGATGACGAAGAGGAGGAGGAAACAGAGCACGACTTTGAGTTTGACGTTCAGCAGGCCAAGCAAACTGATGTCGACCATGGCACCCTAGACACTGTCGATGACACGAGAAGCTTTGCATCAGAAGCTGATGCTGACAACGGAGAGAGTTTTGGTAATGGCTCCAGCAAGAACCGCCACTGGCTCGACTTTGATGTGAATGATCTTTCCGACTCGGATTCAGAGTCCGACAGTGAAGATGAATTCGCTGATGATGATGAATCGTCTTCCGAAGAAGATGACGGCTACGATAGTGAATAAAGGTTTTGATAGGCTAATGTTAGTACTGAAGTATACATCAAACCTCGTGCAGCAGCTTCAGCTTGCTCTTTTAGTTAGTTTCAGAAGACAAATCAGTGCTACATCGGGATCTATACCTACCGGTACTAGCTCTGGTCTAGCTCTCTCAACCAACTGCTACGAGACGAACACTTTGACCCCGAAGTCATTTGGTCGAGCAAACATTTGGTTGGCGGAATCGTAGCTTTTACGCCTACATCATGGATGGTGGGGAGAATTGGCATTTGCGTCTCTTTGGCCCCGCACTGTTGATCGTGTGGATGTTTAGGTTTGGCCTATTTGCTCCCGACTTGCTGCATGACCCAGAGAAGATCTTTGACCCAACCATCAGTCTCACCGAGGCCAGGCCGCCTCCGCGATGCCATCGCCTTTGGCCTTGCCTATTGGCTGCTCGATGTCCTTCTTCATTCTTGATCACACACCCAATGCCAAGCCGATCAACGATGAAATTGGCATTGTGCGTTACACTGAGCCAACTCGCTGGAAGAACGATTCTGGTTCTGCCTACCAGCCCATTGCTGGGAAACGCCGATTGCAGTGCACCTGCTGATTGCTTTCTGCTTCTTACCCTTTGCGGGTGGATTGCTTTTGCCCCCCCCCCCCCAGGGATTGGGGCCGTTTTGAGGTTGAATGACTCGATTGAGCATTCGATTCGATTGATCATCAGATGCGAAATCAGGGGAAACAGTGCGTACCTCTACTTTCGTCTCTTTTCCAACTTGCTTCGAACGCGAAAAAGAGTGTCCCAAAGGAATAAGTCAGCGGGAGCTGCGATACCTCGGCAGAAAGACAGATAGAAGAAGGAGGATCATGTTCGAGATTGCACCCATCTTTCAAGCCAACCCTGGCGACAACACCCGACTACGTCGTGTGTTGCCGCCCGGTATCATTCATTCCCTCATTGCAACCTTCTTTTTATTAAGCTAGCCCTGGCGACAACGCCCGACTACGTCGTGTGTTACCGCCCGCTACTCTATAATTTACCAGCTGCCATTCCCTTATGTAACTCTAACCTTTACAACTCCTGCTGGCTTATTGTGCTGTTGTGCTGATTGCACTAACCTTAAAAATATTAATGATTTATTCCTACCCCTAACTTATATTGAACCATCAATGTTTGTTCAGTTTTGTTGGCTTATGACTATCTCTATCCTTATACTTTGGATTCACTGGAATAGGAAATAGGAAATTCGGCTTTTTTTCAGCGTTCGTCTCCTGTTTCCTCAGTTTGCTCGCTACTTGGATCCTTATGACGAATACATGCACAACCGAACATTGTCAATCCAGCCATCGTAGCCAGCTACCGTAGAGTTCATCGATCAGTGACAGTGGCAACAGTACCGAACACACTCAGGTTCGACTTTGCTCGCTGCAGTCAGTTACCTCCCATTGGATCCTTATGACGAATACATGCACAAAACCGAATATTGTTAATCCAGCCATTGTAGCCGGCTACCGTACAGTTACATCGGCGACAGTGTCAACAGTACCGAACACACTCAGGTTCCGCTTTGCTGGCTACACTCCGTTGCCGGTACCTTGCATTGGATCCTTATGACAAATACATGCACAACCGAACATTATGAATCCAGCCATTGTAGCCGGCTGCGGTATAGCTATCATCGAGCGACAGTTGGCCAACAGTACCGAAAGTTCGGCTTTGCTCGCTACGGTTACCGGTACCTCGCATTGGATCCTTATGACGAATACATGCACAACCGAATATTCTCAATCCAGCCATTGTAGCCAGTTACCGTAGAGTTACAAACATCCGTGACAGTGGCAACAGTACTGCAATACACGGCTCTTAGCCTTATTCGCGACTCGATCCTAGATAGGGTTTGAGTTCGACTCATGACTGAGTCTCTCGTGAATAGTCATTTGAGACAGGGTTCTCAATGACCGCGCTAGTCATACTAGGTTGATGATGAAACATCGCTTTAGGGGCAGGTTTTGAAACCTGCCCCTAATGGGAATCTGCCCCTAAATCTGCCCCTAATTTTGGGGCGTTTTGGATTTAACCTCACCCACGATTGAGGAACGCTCCAGTAGCAGGCCAACTCAGACCTCGTCACAGATCTCAAATCTCGAGTGCTGAATTAGGCTCTTGGCTACCTAGTGGTGATACCGATAACCGGTACAGATGCTCACAAAGGAACCGTTAAGTAGCAGAGTCGAGTTTCTGGTCACGTGCTGCGTGTACGTGTACTCCGAGTACGTTTGTCGCGTGTACTATAATAGTAGTCAGAAATGGGGCATACCCAGTTATTTCCTTGCTTTCCTTTCTCCTTGACGAATTCTTTTCTCCAAAACCTTTAATAATGCTTTACTCCATAGGAATTAAAGGATCAATTCTCTATCTGGTCACAATGGATAAATCGATATTAATAGAAAGCAGCTTTACCCAGATGACTTTGGTTTCCGTTTGCCAGCTTTGGCGGGATCCTACCGGTAGACCCTACCTAGCTAGCTAGCTAAACCACCAAGAGAGCAAGGGCTCCGGTACGGTACTACGTTATGGTATGCAAGAGCACTAAGAGAGCATTACTACTCCGGACTAGTAAGAGACTCACTTTAAGAGTGACAAAGTCGCCCAGCATTGTTTTTTGTTTTTTGTTTTGGGTGACCGCAAACCGCAATCTACAGCAGCTTCTACCAGGTACTATTAGTAGCTACTAGCTTAGCTAGTACAGGTATTAATAATTCACTGAGAATCTCTTCTTCTATTCTGTGACTGTGTGACTGAAGGGAATGAGCCTATATGTTATTTCATCTGGTAGAAAGTCAAGAATACTTGGGGGACTGCTCCTCTTTACCTTTACAGAGTAAGTGTTTTTCGACAAGATCCAACATGTTACTTGGCCATAAGTGCAGGTGGGTTCTATTGTTCTGCGCACATGGCAAAATTGGGTCCACGTCACTCCCCAAGATCAATGATCTCCTAAGCGAAGCAAGCAGAACGTCCAATGAACAGCCCTCAGTTAACCATCCAGTCGTAAAGTTTGGCCGGAATCTTCAGAAAGAAGAAAGGAGGATCGAAAGATCCATTAATAAAATCGCCAAGCAGACTTTTATTGACTTCAACAAGTAGCTGGTCACTGGCCGCTCACCGAGCAAGCACATCGTAGAGCTTATAGCTTTTAGAGCTCAGAGCTTCCGCCATCGAGCTCACAATTCGAAATCATCGCAAGCAAGCTACACACAACTTTCAGCAACCCACCAAGATTTTCATCTCTTTTGTCTATGACAATGGATCTCGCGTGGGGTTTGACCAACGTTTCTGGGCACATTGCCATGCAGGACCAAGGCAAGATCTCGCCTGGAACTTTGAAGAAGCCCAAGAAGAAGACCAAGGGTCGACGAAACAAAGAGCGCAAGCCAAAGTCTAGCGGCCGAGTCTCCAAATCCAAGGAGCAGTATCAGCAAGTGGTTGATGAAGTTGTGGCATCGCCCAAAAGCAAGAGACAGCCACGAAACTCTGTGGGAAGTTGGGCTGGATTGGATCTTAACGCCTACCACTTCACCCAAGCGATTGGCGGACGTGACCAAGACGAGGCGGCCGAGGAGGAAGTTCCAAAGGGAAACCTCCCTCGAAAGAGCAGTTGGGGCAAGCTTGAACTCGCTCTAGCATCAGGAGATGAGGAGAGTGTCGTTCGACCATCAACAAGACGAAAGGGAACCCTTGACAGCTCAAGCCATCACTCCAAGAGTAGTTGGGCTGGCCTGGATATCTTTGGAGAAATGGATCTTGCCGGATACCGACTCGGCGACAGCGATGACGAAGAGGAGGAGGAAACAGAGCACGACTTTGAGTTTGACGTTCAGCAGGCCAAGCAAACTGATGTCGACCATGGCACCCTAGACACTGTCGATGACACGAGAAGCTTTGCATCAGAAGCTGATGCTGACAACGGAGAGAGTTTTGGTAATGGCTCCAGCAAGAACCGCCACTGGCTCGACTTTGATGTGAATGATCTTTCCGACTCGGATTCAGAGTCCGACAGTGAAGATGAATTCGCTGATGATGATGAATCGTCTTCCGAAGAAGATGACGGCTACGATAGTGAATAAAGGTTTTGATAGGCTAATGTTAGTACTGAAGTATACATCAAACCTCGTGCAGCAGCTTCAGCTTGCTCTTTTAGTTAGTTTCAGAAGACAAATCAGTGCTACATCGGGATCTATACCTACCGGTACTAGCTCTGGTCTAGCTCTCTCAACCAACTGCTACGAGACGAACACTTTGACCCCGAAGTCATTTGGTCGAGCAAACATTTGGTTGGCGGAATCGTAGCTTTTACGCCTACATCATGGATGGTGGGGAGAATTGGCATTTGCGTCTCTTTGGCCCCGCACTGTTGATCGTGTGGATGTTTAGGTTTGGCCTATTTGCTCCCGACTTGCTGCATGACCCAGAGAAGATCTTTGACCCAACCATCAGTCTCCCGAGGCCAGGCCGCCTCCGGATGCATCGCCTTTGGCCTTGCCTATTGGCTGCTCGATGTCCTTCTTCATTCTTGATCACACACCCAATGCCAAGCCGATCAACGATGAAATTGGCATTGTGCGTTACACTGAGCCAACTCGCTGGAAGAACGATTCTGGTTCTGCCTACCAGCCCATTGCTGGGAAACGCCGATTGCAGTGCACCTGCTGATTGCTTTCTGCTTCTTACCCTTTGCGGGTGGATTGCTTTTCCCCCCCCCCCCCAGGGATTGGGGCCGTTTTGAGGTTGAATGACTCGATTGAGCATTCGATTCGATTGATCATCAGATGCGAAATCAGGGGAAACAGTGCGTACCTCTACTTTCGTCTCTTTTCCAACTTGCTTCGAACGCGAAAAAGAGTGTCCCAAAGGAATAAGTCAGCGGGAGCTCGATACCTCGGCAGAAAGACAGATGAAGAAGAAGGATCATGTTCGAGATTCACCCATCTTTCAAGCCAACCTGGCGACAACACCCTACGTCGTGTGTTGCCGCCCGGTATTTCATTCCCTCATTGCAACCTTCTTTTTATTAAGCTAGCCCTGGGACAACAGACCTCGACTCGTCGTGTGTTCCGCCCGCTACTCTATAATTTACCAGCTGCATTCCCTTATGTAACTCTAACCTTTACAACTCCTGCTGGCTTATTGTGCTGTTGTGCTGATTGCACTAACCTTAAATATTAATGATTTATTCCTACCCTAACTTATATTGAACCATCAATGTTTGTTCAGTTTTGTTGGCTTATGACTACTCTATCCTTATACTTTGGCTTCACCGGAATAGGAATAGGAAATAGGAAATTCGGCTTTTTTTCAGCGTTCGTCTCCTGTTCCTCAGTTTGCTCGCTACTTGGATCCTTATGACGAATACATGCACAACCGAACATTGTCAATCCAGCCATCGTAGCCAGCTCCGTAGAGTTCATCGATCAGTGACAGTGGCAACAGTACCGAACACACTCAGGTTCGACTTTGCTCGCTGCAGTCAGTTACCTCCCATTGGATCCTTATGACGAATACATGCACAAAACCGAATATTGTTAATCCAGCATTGTAGCCGCTCGTACCTAATTACATCGGCGACAGTGCAACAGTCAGAACACACTCAGGTTCCGCTTGCTGGCTACACTCCGTTCCGGTACCTTGCATTGGATCCTTATCAAATACATGCACAACCGAACATTATGAATCCAGCCTTGTAGCCGCTGCGGTATAGCTACATGACGACAGTGGCAACAGTACGAAAGTTCGGCTTTGCTCGCTACGTCCGTTACCTCGCATTGGATCCTTATGACAAATACATGCACACCGAATATTCTCAATCCACCATTGTAGCAGTTACCGTAGAGTTACAAACATCCGTGACAGTGGCAACAGTACCGAACACACAGGTTCCGCTTTACTGCCTACACTCCGTTACCGGTACCTTGCATTGGATCCGTATGACAATACATGCACAACCGAACATTATGAATCCAGCCATTGTAGCCTGCGGTATAGCTACATCGACGACAGTGGCAACAGTACCGAAAGTTGCTTTGCTCGCTACGGTTACCGGTACCTCGCATTGGATCCTTTCGAATACATCGCACAACCGAAATTTAATCCAGCCTTGTAGCCAGTTACCGTAGAGTTCATCGATGGTGACAGTGGCAACAGTACGAACACACGCAGGTTCGCTTTACTGTTACACTCCGTTACTGGTACCATGCATTGGATCCTTATGACGAATACACACACAACGGAATATTGTCAATCCAGCCATTGTAGCCAGCTGCCGTATAGCTAGTGGCAACAGTACTTGATTTGCGCATACAGGAAAATGGGTACCGACACAGGAATCACCACCAAAACAGTAGGAAATAACAAGAAGGGATGAATCCGGTAGGAGGATCCACTCTCTTGTGTGTTGTCGAGTAGCTAGCCTTGCTCCTGTTCCCTTTCAATGAGTCAACGACTCAGTGATCTATTATCTTACGAAAGAAGCAAGTCGTTCGCCCGAGGACTGGTGCATACAGAAAAATGGGTGCCGACACAGGAATCACCACCAAATCACAAGGAAATAACACTGGAGGAATGAATCCAGTAGTAGGATCCACTCTCCTCTGTGCTTTTGTGCGTTGTCGTGTAGCCTCCTCCAGTTGACTGTTGCCATTCAATGACTCGAAGACGTCGTTCATGCTGTTGGTAAGGCTGGAGTTAACAGTTTCCTCCGTACACATTCCTCCGTAGCGGTAGCCTCTTCTTCCTCGTGTTATTCGGAGCGATCAATCGTTCGTTCGACAATGGGATTTCCTTGGCCGTCAGCAGTACAGCAGAGAAAACAACAAATAGATATGAGTATTGCTTTCTGTGCTGAACTGCAGACGACCGGAGACTTACTCTTGTTTTTCAAACTACACCAACTTGGCCGTCATGGGCTGAGAACTGACTGCCATCCCATGGTCCATATGATTTAATGAGGGATGGCTTTCGAATCTACACCGGAGACAGCCGGCTTGAGTGAGGCTTGGATAACAGATACTAGTAATAGAGGTGCGATCGATCGATTCGAATAACTAAAACAACTCACCTGTTGACGGCCGAGCTCGGAATTCTCTCCTGTTTACCATAGGAATTGAATGAGGGAGAGAAGTCAGTGCTGCACCTTCAACAATGGATTTGGTTTAACACTCTTGATAATAGGCTTACCTCGAATCGATTCGATCGATCGGCCGATTGGATAAAGCATTCACCATGCATTGTTGTCGGCCAAGCTTGGATTTACCTCCTGTATTCCATACGAATTCAATGAGGGAGAGAAGTCAGTGCTGCGCCTTCAATAATGGACTTTCGCTCGACTGATGAGGGACGATAGATTTATCCTACATACATGTGCAGGCAAACAGTTTATCCTTAACCTTAGTAACTTCAACGGTTCTTTTTATCCACGAATCGATCTAAATCTTTCGAAGCACATGACCGTTGATTCTGCAACTGAAGTGCGGCTACTCTATTTTCCACAGTAAACGCCAGCAAATCGATTTCAGAGTGCAACTGAGGGGGTAACCAAAAGGTGCGTCGTCTCATTGAGACGTAATAGGAAATAGGAAATAGCATTTAAGTCAGCGGGAGCTGCGATACCTCGCAGAAAGACAGATAGAAGAATTAGAATCATGTTCGAGATTGTACCCATCTTTCAAGCCAGCCCTGGCGACAACACCCGACTACGTCGTATGTTGCCGCCCGGTATCATTCATTCCCTCATTGCAACCTTCTTTAATAAGCTAGCCCTGGCGACAACACCCGACTACGTCGTGTGTTGCCGCCCGCTACTCCATAATTTACCAGCTGCCATTCCCTTATTGTAATTCTAACCTTTACAACTCCTGCTGGCTTATTGTGCTGTTGTGCTGATTGCACTAACCTTAAATATTAATGATTTATTCCTACCCCTAACTTGCATTGAACCATCAATGTTCAGTTTTGTTGGCTTATGACTATCTCTATCCTTTTACTTTGGCTTCACCGGAATAGGAAATAGGAAATAGGAAATAGAAAATAGAAAATATGAAATAGGAAATAGAAAATAGGAAATAGGAAATAGGAAATAGCATTTAAGTCAGCGGAAGCTGCGATACCTCGGCAGAAAGACAGATAGAAGAAGGAGGATCGTGTTCGAGATTGCACCCATCTTTCAAGCCAGTGCACCAGCCCTGGCGACAACACCCGACTACGTCGTGTGTTGCCGCCCGCTACTCTATAATTTACGAGCTGCCATTCCCTTATTGTAACTCTAACCTTTACAACTCCTGCTGGCTTATTGTGATGTTGTGCTGATTGCACTAACCTTAAATATTAATGATTTATTCCTACCCCTAACTTGTATTGAACCATCAATGTTCAGTTTTGTTGGCTTATGACTATCTCTATCCTTATACTTTGGCTTCACCGGAATAGGAAATAGGAAATAGGAAATAGAAAATAGAAAATAGAAAATAGGTAAGTCAGCGGGAGCTGCGATACCTCGGCAGAAAGACAAATAGAAGAAAGAGGATCGTGTTGGAGATTGCATCCTTCTTTCAAGGTAGCCCTGGCGACAACACCCGACTTCGTCGTGTGTTTGTCGTGTGTTGCCGCCCGGTATCATTCCCTCATTATAACCTTCTTTTTTATTTAAGCTAGCCCTGGCGACAACACCCGACTTCGTCGTGTGTTGCCGCCTACTATCATTCCCTCATTGTAACCTTCTGTTTTATATTAATTAAGCTAGCATTGGCGTTGCCACGGGCTAACCCATAATTTGCAGCTATCATTAGATCGCGTAACTCATACAACACCTGCTGGCTTATTGTGTTTTTGTCCTGAGTGCACTAACCTTAAAATACATTGATATATTCCTACCCCTAACTTTTATTGAACCTTCAATTTCCAGTTTTGCCAGCTTACATTATCTCTATCCTTATACCCTGGCTTCACCGGAATAGGGGATCCCACAGACACAAAATGAGGGGATCCCACAGACAAAAACCAGGGGGATCCCACAGACAGAATATTTGCCATTAAAGGGGTAGAGGACTCAGGCAGTTAACCTGCCGAGGTAAATAGGAAATAGAAAATAGCATTAAAGGGGTTGAGAACTCAGGCAGTTTACCTGCCGAGGTAAAGGGGTTGAGAACTCAGGCAGTCTACCTGCCGAGGTAAAGGGGTTGAGAACTCAGGCAGTTTACCTGCCGAGGTAAAGGGGTTGAGAACTCAGGCAGTTTACCTGCCGAGGTAATGCTGTTTTATCTTTTATCGACCATCATCAACAGTGAAACTACTCACTCCCTTTGTGTCCAAGGCTGCTACTGGTATCGGCCCAACCTACCGAAGGAGCCCATCAAAAGAGGAGGAGAAGGACTGGCTACGGTAGCTAGCTAGTAGGAGGGAAGAAAAAAGTGCTAGTCGTTTCAGTTTTCTATGGCCCCAGGGTGTCCAGTGTCAGTGTTGTCCAGTGACGAGTGACCGTTTCATCCAGCTAGCTCAAGAAAACACCCACTCGAAGATTCAAGAGGCGTTGAGAGACATTGTATGTAGAACACGAAGTTTGATGTGAATTGCAACTTGGAAAGTCAACATCAATCAACATGACAGACGGCAGTAACTTTAGTGACAATGCCTTGACGACTCTGGAGTCCTTGGTATTGGAGTGTCAGTTGGAGAATGCCCGACAAGACGATGAGAAACGCAGAGGCAGTATTGGGAGCGCTTGTAGTACGGTTCGATTGAAAGGAAGTGGCAGCAGTAAGAAAAAGTACAACGAGATGCCAGCAGAAGATCGCGCCTTCATTCAGACGCTTCCTGGAAACAACAAGTGCGCGGATTGTGGCTCCAGTGATACCGAATGGGCTTCCATCACCTATGGCATTCTGATCTGCACGAAGTGTAGCGGAGTTCACAGGTACGAAGCTTATTTGGTTCAAGTGCACCATCCATCCATGGTGTGAACTTCTGTTCTTCCATTTTACTCAATCTCCACTTTTTTCTGGGTTGACAGAGCCATGGGAACTCATCTCTCCAGAGTCAGGTCCGTAAAGATGGATTCTTGGGCTGACAACCACATCAAGGCCATGCGACATGGAGGGAACAAGAAATGCCGGGATTACCTTCGAAAACGTGGACTCAAACTGAAAGAATGTACTATCAAGGAACGGTACGAATCACCCGTCGCCAAGAAGTATCATCAAAAGCTCAAGGCTGCCGTCAAGGTGGTCACCGAGGAGCATCCACTCCATGCAAAACCTACAAAGCGAGCCTCAACCACAGATATTGGAATCCCCACACCCACCACACAAGGCTCTGCGGAGAACAATGGCGACAACAACGATGTTCCGGTCCATCCAGTATCGACAACCATTCTGAATACACCCCCTCCTTCATCACGTCCTCCCATTTCACCCGCTGCCATGCTCCGATTTCGAAGATTCTCCACCACGGCCTCGGCTACTCGAAATCGTCCCACTAGGAGTTTGTCGGCTTCGGCTCCCACCATTTTTTACATGGGGCGCAGCTTCCAAGCAAACAACCCCAGCGCCGCCAATAATGACGACACTCTTCGAATTGATGATTGGGATGTGCAACGCAAGCTAGAACATTGGTGGTATCATCGAGGCCACGACGACGAAGAGAACGACGAACATTACTCCTATTCCAATGCCAGCTCTTCTCTCAGTTCCAACTCCCTTTCACGGTCCTCTTCTTATTTTGGGGGTGGCAGCACAGCCACGAGCCGCTCCGGACCTGCGCTCACGTGGGAAGATCTGCGGGCTCTGCAAACAGACCCCGAAATCAAAGACTACGTGCGACAGCAACTGTTGCAGCGGTGGGATGAAAAGGGAAATCCCCGCAAATAGAATTGACGACAAATTCTTGTTGGGAGTTCATATGCCAGAGATAGTTCTTGTCCTCTGAATGAAATGCAGACCACTGCCACCTCGACAATATTCAGTGCGTGATGGCAGAATTCATAAAAACCATACATGACATCATCAGTTGCTGTCATCTAGCTAGCTTGCAAAATCGACAATGATGGAATCTCTCATGGAATCGCCAAGGGGTTCGCCACAGTGACTGACTCGCGAACGATGCTATGATTCTCGTACCACGAGACCCGACCTGTAACTGGTTTCTGCTAACTACGTACTTCTACTAATCTTGATTAGCCTACTAGTATGAATCGTATCCCCGACTTCACTTTACCTTGTTCGTTTTTGACTCGGCGTGTGTGTGACACCTCTGTTCTGTCAAAGATGTCCTTCAATATAAATGATTCACGACTTCGCTGTCCATTTGTCGCTTCGCTGTCAATTTGTCACTTCGGATGGCACAGCTTTGCCTTGAACTATTGCAAAACTTGATTAATCGCCCTGATAGCTGCAACCGATATGGGCAGGGGCATTCTAATGAAAGGTGCTGGTCCGACGCATCATCGACAAGTTCTCCGATTTGGACGCTTGCATTCGCTGGCGTCCATGCGACCTTGGCTGATTGCTGTCGCTCACTTGACTTTCTTCGTCGGCATCCACAGTGTTTTTGCGTAGCTTGCTCTTGGCGACAAAGGCGTAGAGCTTCTGTTCCAGAATCCCATTCGTCACCGCACCCTTGGTCTTGAGCCCCGCCTTGAGACGAGCAAACTCTTTGTCGTCCAATGCAATCTGGAGCAGATCGGCATCCGTATACGCTAGTTTCTTTCGCAGAGACTCGTGCCGCGCAGGTGTTTTCACTCGACGGGCGATATCATCGTCGTGGAACGAAAAGGGTGCGATCCTTCGGTCGGCGGACCACTGCATCTGCGCTGGCGCCGACTGTCTCCACGCATCTTGCCTCCAGGATGTTCCGAGGTTCTCTCGAGCAATTTTCTCTTGCGCGTCCGCCATATCCGCCAATAGCCGAACGTCCGATTGACCCTTCAATCGGTCGGCTTCCCGGTGATGCTTGAGTGTGACCGTGCCATCCTTATCCGCCGCACTAAAGGATCGTCCCATGTACGTAATGGTAGGTGCCGATGCGGATGAGTTACTACGACGTACCGATCGTCGAGACGTGATGGAAGCAATGGCCGACTGGATCGTGTTGGTTGTGGCAGTGGACTTGCCCGAGCAAGATGCGTCGGAGGAGGGCACGGGCAATTTTTTCATGCGACGTTTGGCAGTTGGCTTTTTGTTGAACCACGAATCCAGACTCATGTTCCTCTTGTCCTCCTCCTCTTTCTGTTTTCTTGCCGCTTCACTGTCACTATCATTTTGGTCGTCATCTTCTCCTTCCTCTTCTTGAATGGATGCCTTGTGGTCACTGTTGTCATCCATGCTCCTGTGTTGTCGGGTGTTCCTCTTTTTGCTGTTGTTGGTTGCTGCATCAGTGGAAGTATCATCCGCAAAGAACGAATTGGCACTATCGTCCATTCCCGCCGGTGATAGTTGCTGCTGCTGCTTTTTGAATTTGTATTGTTTGGACTCCTTGTTGTTTTCCGCCACTGTCGACGATGCGGCCGTCTCGGTGGAGGATTCAGTTTCATCGAGTCCTGGTTTGGTTCCTTTGGCGGCGGCTTGAGCTCGTTTCTTGAGGACACTTTTGTAGGCCACGGCGGCATCACTGGTGTACTTTTGGTCAATGGGTGTCTCGTAAAAGTCAAAGCTCGCGTCGTTCTTGGTCTGTTTCTCGACAAATTTTTGAAAGGCATAGTTTCCTCCGTGTCGCATCAATTCGAGATGTTCTTCGGACCAGAAATCCATCTTGACGGACCGGACACGAGAGATGTGAGTGCCCAGAGCACTGCAATATACCGAACAACCCAAAACGAAGGAAGGGAAGGAAATGGTTAGAAGACGGAAGAAAACAAAGGGAGAGACACAGAGAGCAACTCAGAGGAGGCCGAGAACATCGGGCTGAATGCGAAGAGGTATCCTGGGGTATCTGATGTTTCCTTAGTCACCAGAGCTGTCACCAGTGTATTGTCGTATCAAGCCTTGACCAGTCTTCTTTCGATTCGCCTGCTGTTCCGTGTTATCCTGGCGTTATACCCGTCCATGCTTGCCGTAACCTCAAGAAGGAGACAATATACCCTTCTTGTGGATCACATCAGATACCCACCAGATACCCCAGTCTTCTCTCGTTCTCCTCCTACTGTACCACCCGCAGCCCATCTTGCGGAACCAGCGCCCCATCCGAGATAACGGAACAAAAGATAACTCACCGATGAATTCCACTACAGTCGGCGCACAACAAGAGCCCAAAGGAGACGGACGCCCACTCGGTATCGGTACTCTCGCAATCGGCACAGCAATGATTCCCCAAGAGTCGTTGGATCCTCTCGTAATCTTCCGTATCCATCTCGCACTCTTTGATTGGGTCTGAGCTGCTCCTTGCCGTGGACGCCTGCTGGTGTTGCTTGGCATCTTCCAGCGCCACCTCCAAGACCAACGACTCCAAGGTGGTCAGGTTGGAGTCGCTGAACGTGCTCACACGACGGGATTCTCGAGGAGTAGGAGGCTTCATGGTCATGATCTTTTAATTAATAGCAACAAACACAACACAACTAATAACTGAGAAAAGGATTCTTGTGGACCGCTTGAAAAGGAGGAGTCACTGTAGATACGTAGATGTAAGTTCTGGATAGAGAGATGTAGTTCTGGACAACAAACTTGGCAATCGAGAAAGTGGCACTGTGGCAAAAAGAAGGCAATTATTGCAGACGATAGATTTCCACAGAGACTTGGAGCTGTCTATTGTATGTACCGGTATTGTTGCTTGGGAGCTTGGAAGGAGGCAAATGATTTCGGATGCTTCTTTGTCTTGAGTCTGAACCATGGACTCTCACTTTTGTTTTGCTGTGTGACAGTGTCAGTGCAATACTCTGAATACCGGTACATTTCCGTGCTCGATTGAACGCGAATTGATCATTGCCTTACCGGTTCTCTTTGGAAGCTCTTGGTTTAGCTGAAGTTCGGTTCCATGACCACTGACATAAATAAGTAATTAAAGCATAGGATCCTGATGACCTAGAAGAACAAACAAAAGCGTAAAATAAATGTACTATAGTACAGTACATCGGTACAACGGTCATCGACCAACCGAAGTCTTTTCCGTCACTATCGCCAATTTAGTTCAGGTGATGCGGAAGCCATCTTGATGGCGGCATTGGCGAGTCTTGGCGATGTACAGTAGGCGTAAAAAGACCTTACAAAGAACTAGAAGATCTAGAAAAGATATTCCCTTGGGCCCAATTTTGGTCACACCAGTAGTCACTTTATTTTGGCGCGAATAAACCTGAATCAATCACGAGTGATTCAAGAGTCAAGGAACCTGTACGGATGCACTCAATCTCCGCTTGCACACCCCATGTTTTGCGACATTGGTTTTGCTCCTGACTCCTGATGGTTGGATTGAAGGCCTCCTGTATGGTCACCGGGAAACATCAGGGCTGGAGCAGTTTCGTTATGACAATACCCATGCAACAGTTGACCATCGGACTCGACTCGAGTAATGTATGTTTATTTGTTTGTCAAGGTGGACCTGCTAGCGTGAAGAAATGATACATGTTATTTTGTACCGGTAGTAAATTCATGACATGACAATTATGCTCAACACACAGGGTTCCCTCCCCATTTCACAGAAGAAAGACATCACACTAGGGGACAGAGCCATCAGGGAAATCACGGGAAGGGGACAGCAGTACAGAAAAGCATTTTGATAGACAGACATGTGGTCAGCTGAAGAAGGCTGGTAATAGGAGCGTATCGCTCATTATCAATTTGGGTACGGTAGCTATTTGGGAGCCGCTGAATTGAATGGCGCCACCGGCTGACAAATTTTGGGTGGACTCAGGTGGGATTCCAAAGGTGCTTGCTGTCTTGGAACACTATGGTGCTAGTTACATTACAATGTTCAGTTTGTGTAAACAAAATTGTTTTTGTGAATCCTACTTTCGGGAGCAAGGCTGCTCTCTACTGGATTTTTTTCTTGTTTTTTCTTCTCAATTGTTTTCAAATCCTGTGAAACCATAAAAATCTCGTGAAGGTGTGGAATGGTGAATTGTAGAACTCCGAATGGATCTGTGGGGGAAATCATCAAAAGGATGGGTTTGCCTGATCCTGTTTTTCTTGGGAGGAGAGCATCAACCCAGCCACCACGTTGACAATGCCTGCAGAAACTGCCATCAGCTTAAGTGTTCTTTGCAAAGAGAGGTGTGCTGTCAAAGAACAATTCAACCGCATGGAGCTTGTTGGATTGGGGGTTGAAGCTTGCTCGGCAAGTTCCTCGCATGCTCAGCTGCAAACAAAAAAAAACATTAGGAATGGTATCTGGGCATGGTAAACCATGAATGCTGCCAATCTGCTAGGAACTTACCGACTTGTTTGAATCTACTGAACTGGCAGTCCAATCCAGAATGACATTGGCCCCCTCCATGAGGAGGCTGGATCTGTCGCATTGATAGGTGAGAGATCCCACTGCAGTTCGCTTGGACCCCTTCTTCAACTGCTTGTTGAATTCATTGCATTCTTTCATGAGTGCGGTGACACCTGTCATCATCTTTTTTGTCGGAACACCATTTCCTCGTCCCTTGCTGCTGCCACTGGTAGTAGAAGTGGCAGATGCTGTTGAAATATTTTTCCATTCCATGTTGGGCGCACACAGGGTGGCTCCATCCTCCAGAATGGCACTCCAGCGAGCTGGCACCTGCTCATTTTGTCCTCGTAGACGCAAAAACTCCTGCACTACACTGAATCGAACATCTCGCTCTTCCGATTCAATCTGTGCCTTGCGATTCTTGGCTGCCACGGCCAAATCTCGTTCCTTGACCAAAACATCCAGGGTTCTCTTGAGTTCATCCACATATGCCTTTTTTCGGATGCGTGTATTCTTGGCATGCAATCGATTGCGGTCGCGACTGAACCGAGCCTTTTCTTCGGGCGTCAATGAATCGGCAGCTGCCAAATTGGGAATGGCCACAGTGGTATCCAGATCGGTTCCCGAAACTGACTCAAAGCACATGGCCGCGCCCTTGGATCCCGTCAGTGCCTTGATATGTGCCGTGGAGGTATCAATTCTGCGACCACCATGCACAGAGATGGATCCATTGGAACCAGCTCTAGTAGTGGTACTAGTAGGCGCGGTACTGCCACTCACCCTTCGAGGAGCTGTTTCCGGTTTCGGAGCCAATAATTTTCCTCCTGCAGTGGTTGTTGTCGGAGCCGATGGCGCCGGCATGGGAATGATCGGTGTGTTACCAGTAGTGGCAACACTCCGAGTTTGCCTTCGAGTGGTCTGTTTCTTGGCAGTCTTGGAAGATGATGAAGTGGAAGATGATGAAGAGGAGGAGGAGGAGGTAGAATCTTCATCTTCGGAAATCTCTGCGGCGGATCGTTTCTTGGCCATGGTATCCGATGTAACAACGGCCGTATTGGAAGTGGTCGCAACAGCAGCAATTTCCTGTGGCTTGAATGGAGCCGAGTCAGTATTATTATTGTTGCTGTTGTCGTCGTGACCAATAAAGGGTATCTCGGCATCGCAAGGTGCCGAAGCAGCGGCTGCTGCTGCCAATCCAAGATTCTCCAAATCGACCCTCATTTGTTGGGAATCCAAATTGAACAGAGAAGGAATCTCTGGGGGACCACAAAACGTAAGCGCAAAGCAATTGTGAGGACAATATTTTGAAAGGGTATCAAATGAATTATCGAGACATCGAGACCAGCCTTTGAGAAGCAGTCGAGAAGGCATCCATTCCACCGCGCAGCTCTTTTAATAAACCCACAAAATAAAATAACTCTTCATAAAGACACTTACCATTCAATTCATAGTCTCCCAATTCTCCTCCAAACAGATCGGCAGCTGCCGAATCAATGGTGGAGACAAGTGGGTATTCCACATTAACAGTAGCCACAGCAGCACCCACTGTGGATTCCACTACCTCTGCCAGAAATTCTGCCGTCGACACTTCCAACTTATTGCCGTCCGAGGACGAGAGCGGTACCGATGAAACTTCTGCGACGGTCATCTTAGACGTTGATGTTGTTTTTGTTCTTTGGGATGCGACGACGAGCTGGTGTGAAAAACAATGGCAGCTGGTTGCTCTCAACATAAAAGGATCATGTGGAGGCCCGGGTGCTTTTTGTGATTTGGATCGTTGTTATAGTGCCTCCAAGCAGCTGTGCCTCGAACTCCAAAAGTGAGAAGTGGTGAATGAATGGTCGGAGGTAAGCACACAAAGTTCTTCTTCTGAGTTCTTTTCCAACTGCCCTGACCTTGCTTCAATGAGAATTTGGGTACCGCTAAGACAAATCTAATGAATTTCTTTAAGTGATTTGCCAGCTCACTCAATGACATGCTATGACATCATTATCAATCAAGAAGGCTCATCCTTTCTTATCCAATCAAAATCCAGAATATTTTGCTGATGCTCTAAACGGGAAGCCTTTCGCTACGGTATTTAGACTGAAAATCCAACCCAACTTCTTGTTTCGGATTGATGTTGAAGACGAAGCCCGAACAACTGCCTCATCCATGTTGATCATATGATACAATCAAGAAGCAAAGCTTATTAGTATCTACTCAGTAGCAAGCACAAGCACAAGCACAAGCATCCTGCAGTCACGGCTTCTTAGTCTGGGAAGGTGCTCGAAGAAGTTCCCAGTCCTTCCGTCTATCCACCATGGCGCATCGCAGAAGAGCTAGGTCCATCTTTCCTTTATCTCTTCTGAACCTTTTGCTAAGATCTACCATGTCCTTGTCATTGTCGACGACATCCGCAACGCAGTCGCTCCCAGTTGTGCTGATTCATGGCCTCGATTCGTCCAAGGAAACCTGGGATACTGTGCTACCCAAACTGCAGCAAAGAGAGGACTTTTCGGCCACTGCCATGGATTGTCGTGGCTGTGGACGTCATCCCCTGCCAGATCTGATAGATGAGGAATTTTCCATAGAAGCTCTGGTTCAAGATGTTCAGGATCATTTAGAAGAAGTACAAGAGTGCAAAACCAACAACAACAAGTTGGTCTTGTTGGGTCATTCCATGGGGGCGCGAGTGGCATTGGCATTTGCTGCCACTTATCCAGAAAGGGTGGCCTGTCTCATTATGGAAGATATGGATATTGGGCGACGAAGAATCACCGAAGCACCTTTTGTGGTTCCGAAACCCAGCACGCCATTTTCCAGATCGTTTCCTACCAGAAAAGATGCGATGGAGGCACTCGTCCAAGCAGGGTACCCGCAAGATCGCATTGATCGATGGATTCAAGATGGGCGAATCTTCCCCAACAATAAGAACAATTCTGGGTGGTGGTCCTCGGTCAACCCTGATTTTCGGCGGCTTTGCTATGACAAGGTGGTGGATAATGATTCGGGAGTGGAGCAGTGTCAAAGTCTTGCATCCAATCCGTCTTCCTTTCCTATTCATGTCCTGGTGGGAGGACCAGACAATACAATATGCCGACCAGAGAGCTTGCAAGAAATGACAAGCATTCTTGGACAGGACAGAGTGACCATTCATCAATTTCCACCAGAATCCACACATAGCATCCATTCGTCGCATCAGGATGAATACATGGCCACAATCAACGGAATTTTGGATACCGTTGCAAAATAATAGAACAGGGACGCTTGACCCCCTCTACAGAAAGCTTCTTTGTGCTAGCTAGCAGCTTTGGACAAATGAAAATGTCAAATATAGACTTAAAAATCTCTCAAAGCAAGTTCGCATGCAAGTAAGACTCTGAAATGAATGTCTCCTGTAACGCACGTGTACTTCAATTTTATTGCCTATCGAAGGCGGAGGATGTAAGGGTTATCCTACAGGCCAATCATTGAACCACACTTACTTGTCTTGAGGACTAACGGCACACCGCCAGGCACCTAGAAAACGGTGGCTTGGGCTTTCGTCCGCAGTTATCTTGTTTGTGTTTCTCTATCAGAGCCAAGGGTTCTTGTATGTGCACCTATGTATAGGAAGGGCATCTCATCCTTCATCCTTCTTCCAACAGGCAACCCTCAGAGTTGGCATCACAAATAACGAAAACTTTCAATCTCCTGGCGGGAGTCCCTCAATGTCTCACTCTTCCATCTCCCCCGACGTCCATTGTACTTGAACCGCGTCTTGCTCACTGCCCGCATTCTTGGCGCAACCCCATGTCCAAGGCTGGAAGAGCGCCAGCGTTTGATCTACTACAGAGCTTTGATCTTTGACATGTGCATCCAATACTCCTCCCAACCAGCTGGCCTTGGGAATGGATCCCAATCGGTCCACCTTGACAGTACCACCACCAAGATCAATGGATTTCCCTCGAGGTGGTTGCAAAGTCACTTGCGCATCTGGTTCCACCATGTGAACGGCAAGGTTTCGAACAATGGTGGTCGCAGTCATCTCCAAAAGTTTTTCTACCGGGGGTGCCACTAGAGGAAAGGGTCGGACTTGGATTTCCCAAATGATAGTCACCAGTGATGCTGATGCTGATGACTTGCCGTCGTCGTCGCCGTCATTGTTGTCAGCATAATCATTGGAGAGAGCCACGAACCGAACCCGTCCCAAATGGGTATGAATCAAAAAGGGAATGGTTGTCCATCCAGGATTTTTAATCTGATAGATGGCTTCCAGAGCGCCACCATTGTTGTTGTCGCGTATCGAAAGCACGGTATCGACCAAGAGAGGAGGTACCCGCAAAATACTGGCTGTCGCCGTGCCTCCCCCTTCTTCCAAGACGGGCCCAAATGGAATGGGAGGAGGCAACGGAAGTCCACCGCCACGGGCCCAAAAGAATTCGAGCCATTCTCGAAGCGCATGTCGAGCGGCACTGTGCTTGTGGTCGTCAATAGACGAGGCAGGTACCTGCAAAGTGGATTCCACACGCAGGACCCGACCAGGCGCCAAGGCTTCGGCTACCGTGCGAGCCGCCACGTGAATGGTAAAGTCGGTCACTGCCTGATAGATATCTCGAAATCGTGTCGTCTCAAATTCCACTTGCCACTTCATCAAAAGTGTGGTGGATTGCTCTACTTCTTCTTCTTGTGTGAAGAACTGGACGGTCCCTCGATGTGAATTGGGAACCAGGTCCGCAAAGAAGGGACCCGAGTTGGAAACAGTATACGATATCTGGGCGCTCTCGGTTGAGTTCTCGTCTTGACTACTCCATTCATATGTCTCTTCCATTCCCACTGGAAGGATGGTTCGTTTTCGACTTTGATCATCATCATCATGGTCACTACTACTGTTGTTTTTGTTGTTGCCAATCCAAATGAGAATGGGCAATCCGCCTCCCTTTTTCCAATGTTGCTCCAACCAGGTATCCACTGCTGCAGATGGCGTAAAGGAGCAGTTCTCCACTCGTCGTTCCACCAGTACCGATACCTTATTATTATTGCCGCCATCATTGTCACTGACAGGGTATGACGCTCGGTGTCGAGTGATTGTTGGCCGACCACACGGTCGTCGTTGTATTCTGCTTGGAGGAAGAGTGAACGCTGCCGGTAGCAAAGGGGTGAAGCAGCAAGCAGCTACCAAACATTCCAGTATCAGTAGGACGAAGAGGATTCTATTGCTTGGGTTCATCATGGTCGATGTCGAGCTTTTTGTCCTCAATCAGCCATCAGCCGTCTGTCAAGATTCAAGCAAGATCACAAATCAAAAGTGACGAAGCCAAAGATACGCCAGACCCACAGTTGCTCCCTTAGAGATCCAACCTGAAAGGGAGCTCCTGGAGCTAGAAAATAAGTCAGCGGGAGCTGCGATACCTCGGCAGAAAGACAAATAGAAGAGGTGCGGCGAATTACAAGTTCCAAAAAAGAAGGGGAAAAAAAAGGAGGGGGGAGGTCAGACCCCCCTGTCATGCATGGCTTTTCGTCCCCTATATCCTAGGCATCTACCCTTTAAACCTAGACTCTCCATTACCTTCCGTGAAAAAGGGTCCGACCTACTTTATCTCTACTCTTTTTCTGATCCTCGCTTGTGGGAACCAAAATTTCTTGAGTCTTGGCTAGTGTTTCGAAAGTTTGTGGCGCCAACCCGCCGGTAACCTCATCCCTGTTGGGGATTCGCGATTAGGGATTGAACCTGTACCTCTGTACTAGAATTTCATGCCAGTAGAAATACCATGAAATACAGAGCCCACCCACTTTTTCAGTAGTATCTCAATAGCAACAGTAACAACTAGAAGAGAGCTTAGAGCAACTAACATACTACTGAAAAAGCGGTCTACTATCGATATCGAAGCGAAGAAGAGAAGAGGAGACTATCGAAGCAGTCAATCGATAGCAGGAAGCAAGAGGAGCGAGTATAGGCCGAACGCCGATCGCGACAACGATCCGAGGACGGGTCGCGACGACGCGACGAGTAGAAGACCGTCGAGGACGACGCTACCGTTGCAAGGAAGACGAGACGATAGAGACCAAGCCTGTCGAAGCATCGACAGCAACAGCGAGGAGACTGTCAAGGAACGACAGCAACAAGAGAAGCCCTTCAGGACTGAAGGCATCCGAGGACGGATCAAGACTGCAGCCAACGACGCGAGTATCGGTCGACGACGCAGCAGCAAGAGTTTCATCGGCAGAATCCACAAGGATTGTCGATAGGAGAGCCGACAGCATCCAGCCGGAACTGTCAGAGCCAACAACAAGCGCGAAAGCCATAGTGCCAGCGCAGGGGCCAAAGGACGGGCACCCAAACAAGGAATCAACAATACAAAGAAACGGGTTCGGAGTGGAAACGACCGCACAGTGTGTGAAGCAATCGTTCCCTCCCTGCAAGATCTTTAGTAAATAGATTTAACACTCCCTAGCCAGGAGTATAATTTGAAGTTATCGCCCCATAGCCAAAAGACGAATAAGTAGTCGGACGAGAACTTAAATTAAAAGAGCTAGTCAATCAAAAAACAACGAATTGAAATAGTCCACCTACCGTAGCATAGACAATGAGCGGTAGAGGTAAAGGACGAGGTGGCCGAGGAGGCGGCAAAGCACGAGGGCATGGAAGAACCAGCCCATCGTCGAACCAGCAGAAAGGTTCATGCAAAGCCCTCGACCAACATGTGTTTAACTTCGGTACAACTGGATCTGGAATGGCAGACCAGATGATACGCACATGGGAGAAGATCGTCATCCACGTTGGACAAACGATGGGTGACGACATAAGCAATGAGCTACGCAACCTGAAACAAGACAGTGTTGGTAGCACCGGTGTACTCAGAGGAGACCCGGAACAGGCTTGACGCGGCGCGGACGACGTGAACAGAACAACACTCGTCTCCTAACGGCGACGAGGAAAGCCTAGAGCTACTGGAAGACGAGATAGCCGAGGTCACTGATGACCCAACTGCAATACACGGCTCTTAGCCTTATTCGCGACTCGATCCTAGATAGGGTCTGAGTTCGACTCATGACTGAGTCTCTCGTGAATAGTCATTGAGACAGGTTCTCATGACCGCTAGTCATACTAGGTTGATGATGAAACATCGCTCTAATATTTAGCCAGCGTGGAGTACTCCACGCTACTAGATAAATGCTAGACGAATCTTCCACGCGTTCCGTTTTTGGATCGTGGAGTGAGTAGGATTACTACCCAACCTACTCTATACACTTTACAGTCTCCCGCGGGGAGTTCAGATCTACGATCCTTTGATTGTGATTCTCTCTCTTGATTAGTTTTCATAGCTTCTAATCCTCTTATAACTTTCATTCTCTCAAACTCAAAAACATCGAAAGATCTTTACACTAGCTTTTGCGTGTGCATTTTGTTAACAAACACAATAGCTTTCAGCTACCCTCAACCTATTCCTCACCATGAAGATTGCCAAAGACGCATACACCAGCTTCGAGTCTAAGCTGGTGACAAACCAATCCTTCCTCTCATCCCTCGATGATGAATGCGAAATCGACGATTCTCGCTCTACCACCTACAAACTTCGCACTATTCCAGCAGATGCTAACAGCGCCAATATACACCTTCAAGGTCCAAATCATCAAGGATTCTGAGACTCCACGTCAGACATCAAGTGGGCTGGACGTATGGAGAAGGTCTTCGTCGGGCTCGCCATTGCTACGCCTGCGAAAACATAACCTCCCAAGGAGATGACTTCTAGCTCTGCCAAGAGCATTACGAATCTAGCTGTGCAGGCCATCGTGAAATACGTTGGAAATGCCTTGCCGCCAGATTGCAGTCAACGGGATTGCTCCACGCGATGTACGTGGCGGAAGACGAAGCCGCTTTCCAAGTACGTTTCCAGGCTGCCTGGAACGGAGCAGCTCAGCCTGCTTTGGACGATGCTGACATTACGTTGGCATAAATGCCTGTATCGAGGCAGGTCTGTCCCTACAAGGCTCTGAAAAGCAGAAACGCTTCATGCGCCGCAAGATGCGTAAGCCTGCTGATATGTCTACTCGGCTTATGTCAACAACCTTAGTCGGATGAACGCCAATGAACTTCCTCGTCTACCACCTTTTGGACCAACCAACGTTGAACCATGACGAAGTCATTGACATTGTTTGTCATGAATTCCACGCTCGTGGATGAAGAAGATGGACGAACACGACTTCGATCCTTTCTCAGCCCTATCGAGAAACCATTGGATTCTGCGAACGCATGGAATCCTCCGAAGACTTTGACAAGGGCGGTGATGCCAAGCAAGCTCCTAGAAGAACAACAGCAAGAAGTACAAGTCTACTCGCAACAACGACCACTCTCCAAGAACGAAGAAAAATGGTGCGACTACCACGAGTCCAGCACTCACACACTGCGACTGCATGACTTGAAGAACTCAAGGCCAAGTCTCAGTCCTCGTCTGACAACGATAAAAGCCAGCGTACAACAAGAACAAGACTTGGAAATGCAAGTCCGACGACGCCAAGACCTACACCAAGAAAACTCTCTGTCCTCATGAAGAAGTTTCCAACGCTGCGGTCAAGGCTGATCGCAAGAAGAAAAGCGAATGCAACCATGTTGCAAAGCCAATCAGACAACTCCGCACAATGACGACTCCTCTGTTGATCCATCAACATGATGGACAAGAAATGGCTGCCGTCGACAAGGCGCTTGCCGAATTCGACTTCAATCATTCGGATGGAGAGATCTCCATCTGAGGATTAGGCCAGATGATGATTCAACGGAACACATGTTCCGATTTCTCATACCTAAGTGATGAAGATATCTCACTAAATAGTAAACAAGATTTTTTGCAACTAATGAAGTCTACGGCAAAATTAGATAATTGCCTACAAACTACTCAACTAGACTCTGACGATCTGTTCAGCATCGTTAACTTCGTCCATGGCCAATCAACTCATCAACGTCGCAAGACAAGAGACCTCGAAACTATCGTCTATGTTAGATTTAACAAGCGAGAGAAAGGGAAACAAAAACCCGTTACACTCTGTTGCTACTGGATACAGGAGCATCCGAACTTTAATTACTCAAACTCATGCAAAGAGTTACTCATGAAGAATCATGGGGGCGTCCAAACATTACGGACTGCTTCTATGAAGGAATCGAAACCCTGCACGAAGTGTAAGGGCACACTCGTGATTCCTGAGTTCCACGATAATAGAATTATCGAATGAATTGCACGTCACCAAAAGAACTTGGGGGCGCAAGACATGATCATAGGTCAAGACACCTCTTCGACCTAAGAATAAGTTTGATTTCACTACCAAGTCATTGGAGTGGAACAGCGTATTTTTCCCTGCGAAAGATGGCGATACCGATAGAAAGGTAGAACTTCTCCATCCCGATCCTGCAGCTGTCAGCGACAATGCAGATAGTCTCAGAAGATTCTTGATACGACATACGAACAAGAGACTTAAGGCAGATGTGCCAGAGTCGAAACCAGTTAAATAAGAAGAGCAAGAACTGCCTCATGCCTTTTCAACCAATGCTTCGGCCCAGTCGAGGATACTTGGGAGGAGTTGCGAATGGACGACTACGAAGTAGAACTTCGTCCCGACGCTAAAATCCTATTAACTAGGGCTCACCCTAACTCCACGGGTCCATACCAACACTCTTAAGAAGGAGGTTGAACGTCTCTGCGAGACAGGAGTACTCAAGAAGGGAATTGTTCCGAGTGGGCGGACCAACAACTTTTATCATTCCCAAGAAAGAGGGATCTGTACGATTCATCTCTGATTTCCGGGAACCGAACAAAAGGATCAAGCGGAAGCCTTATCCTATCCCCAAAATACAGGACATGCTCTTGAACCAGATGGATTCAAGTGCGCTACTAGTCTAAGACCTGAACACGGGACAATCACCACATCGAGCTGTCACCCTCACTCGAAGCAACACTGTACCATTGCACTCCCGAGGGGAAAGCACGAGAACCAGAGGTTGCCAATGGGTCTAGTTAATAGTCCCGACATCTTCCAAAGGAAGATTGGAACACTCATGCACTACTTAGAAAATGTCCGTTCATATATTGATGATCAACACATCCTAACGACGTCGAAATCTGGTGGATCCCGTTGAATAGTTAGATGACCTTTTCCAAAGACTTCAAGAAGTCGGGGTTTAAATCAACACTACCAGGGCCTTCCTCGAAAGGCGAAGAACTGGAGTATCTAGACAATTGG